AAACCAGTAACTTTTCCGATAGAATGCAAATTTTCTATAATTATAGAAGATTATAACCACATTTACCAGTTCATTCAGTCCTTGCTAATGAATCCTTTTTGTTAACAGCTTTATGAAGCCATCAGGTTTCTCATTAGAATTCTTCAGTTTCTGACCAAGTTTGGCATTATAGTCTGAAAGTCAGAAACTTGTATTTATTCAAAAGTCCTTTTTATAAATCTTCTTGAAGAGGAAGCATTTTTGCAAAGGCATTAGAGTGAAACTGTAAGTGTCTATAATGACAAAAGACTTATGAAGGCATGGTAAGAAGGCACGTTTAAAATCTGATCACAATAAAATTAACAAAGTAACTTGGTTACTGTTGTGGAACACAGCACTTAAGGAAGCAATAGTTATTTACTTAGCCAAGGTGACAATAAAAGATTTCAAAGGCAAGTACAGAACAGATCACTTAAGAGGTAAAGAAATTTAAAGTCTGTTATCAGAGGCAGTTCAACATTTTAAGAAAACTTGTCCTCTTAACAGAAAGAAAAGCCAAATTCAAGTTTTGCACCAGCTTACTTTTAAAATTCATTTACTTAATTAAATTCATTATAAACTTAGTCAGTCCTGACCATGCATAAAACTCTTTCCTCAGGGGCCACTTTTCACAAAACTTTCTATCACTTTCTGTATCTCTCACTTTATTTTTCCATTCAGGAGCAGTCAACTCTAAATTAGACCTACTTCCTTTTTTCTTAATAAAATGTAATTCCATTCCTCATACCTTTTTTTACTAAAAACATACATCCTACTTTCCTTAAGCAACCATGAACTGTCCTTTATGTCAGCACTCTGTAGATTGGTAAACATACATCCAAATAATAATTTTTTAAGAATGTGCTTTCTTATAGAAAATATCTCAGTGTGGCACCAAACACAATTTTTTAATAGTTCCAAACCTTTTGTTTCTCTGTAAAAGGAAGCCAATGTTCAGTAATTAATGTTTCAGTATCTTATTTTATTTGGAAATGGCCTAGTTATTTAATAAACTTCCTTTCACTTAATTTAGCACAACTCTAAATGTTTTAAGTTGTCGAATATCTGGAGAGATTATTCTTAAGTAGACATTTCTAAAACATAATTATTCCTAAAATGTTCACCCAAAACTCTTATCTCATTTGTATTTTCTTTTCTTAAAAGTTTCTTCACATTGGGCTTCCCTGGTGGCGCAGTGGTTGAGAGTCCACCTGCCGGTGCAGGGGACACGGGTTCGTGCCCCGGTCTGGGAAGATCCCACATGCCACGGAGTGGCTGAGCCCGTGAGCCATGGCCGCTGAGCCTGCGCATCCGGAGCCTGTGCTCCGCAATGGGAGAGGCCACAACAGTGAGAGGCCCACGTACTGCAAAAAAAAAAAAAAAAAAGTTTCTTCACATTGAGTTATTTTCATTGCTGACAAATTTGCAACAGATATAATAAGATCTTATTTAGTTTATATTAAACCTAGTCACAATAAAAGTATTATACTTAATGTTGATGGCTCAAGACATGTCTATATTAATTAGATCAACAAACAAAAACATTAACACCAGGTATTAATTTAATATTGACTATTTCCCAGTTCACGTGAACCTGAAATTTAGCTTAATTTTTCTTGTTTTAGAATTGTTTTATTTGTAAGTGCTTACTTTTCTCTTAAGCCAATTAAATGGAGCTCATTTACAAATTAACCTCAGCAATATTATCCAAAGACACAGACACATACTGAGACATAAACATATATCCAGGCCGTCAGAGATCTCATAGTTTCCACTTGAGATTTAAAATGTCTCTTTTTTTTTTTTTAACCCTTGGCTTGAAGTTCTACTAATTAACCCAAGGCTGAAGTCTCAGGCAAAGTGGGCTGTGTTTGTAGCTCAAGGACATGATAAGAGTTAACTTCTGACTTTTTCCTAGGCATATTTTTGTTCTCTCAGGGTCAGGATTCTGAAAAAACTATTTCAACAGACTAGCTTTTCTAACTGCACATGCAAAAAGAAACCCCTTTTGCAATCTCAAAAAATTTTTATCTTAACCAGTTTTCTCTGGAGTCTAAAGAATATTGTGGCCATCCTGACTGAAGGAACCTAACTTGTTTTGAATTTGGGAAATGTCAGCGATGGGAAAGGGAACATGGACTCTAACAGTGCCCATGTCTCCATTTGCTACTTCCTGGCATTGGGCAGGCCTGGATCTTGTGTGGGGAGGGGAGAGGGGCTTTCGCCCTGATAAGGGGGTGGCTGATGGGGAGCTGTGGGTTGAGATGGAGTCGGGGGCTGAAGCAGGGGGTTCATGGGGTGGGGGACAGGAGAGGTCGAGTAGAGGGTCATCTAAGAGATCTGCTGGAGAGGGAGACAGGGGGGGCCGGGGGGATAAGGCGGCAACAGAAAGACACATGCGGCATGAGTCCCTCGGCTCCGGATGCTGACTACAGGCCATAAAGGTCTGGACGTAAGGAACCTCTGAGTCCTCTCCTTGTTTCCGCCAAAAGAGATCAAGTTGGAGGATCGTGTTATAATTTAGTGTGCCGTTAGGAGGCCATTGTTCTCGGTCCCCCAGTTTATACTGGGGCCAAGCTATGTTACAAAAGAAAATGAGCCTCTTCTATTTGAGATTTTCAGGGTCAAATTTTTCCCGTTTCTGAGGATACAGCCGACGGGTGAGTCTGAGGGAGGCTCCCGACACATAGCAGAACCCATTCTTAGCCTGTACGCCGTAGAAAGGGGGTACTGAGAGTCACCAGCTGACAGAGAGGCGTCCCCTTTGTCCCGGTGATCTCTCCATGTGACTAAGGCACAAAATGGGCCGACTGTCCCAACAGTCGCGTCTGACCGTGAGAGGTGACCCCTGAGCGTGCGACTGAGGCACCATGCGACTCGGGCAGGGAAGAAAGAAAAGAGAGAGAAATTCCCGGGACCCACCGGGTGACTCACCGCTTGGCCATGCCCTGAAATGTGAAAAGCACTCCTGGGATGGCTCAGAGGCAACACTTAGGCTCCTGTAAGTCAATCTGGACGGAGAAAAAGGTGAAAGTGTAACAGAGAAGACAGGCTGAGGAATCGGCTTTGTAGTCCTGCCGGGAAGGCGGCGGCCAAGGGGAGGGGGCTCAGTGTTCTGCTTGAACCAATACGTGCCTCACGGTGCACGGAAGTTTTCTTGCTGGGGGCAGATGCGCTAACAGCCTGGTCTGTTCCCTGACCCCCCATATCCTTTCACGGGAGTCTTAAAGCGGCAAGCGCCCTAATGGCTTTTAAATGCCTGACCTGTGCCCGCATAATATCAATCGGCCTAGTCCGCAGTCAGGAGGAAGACAGAGGGACCCTCCCCCGTTCTGGGTGGCAGTTACTGGGGCAAAGCGAGCCGTGGAGCCTTCGGAACACACCAGGGTGTGGCCCTGGCCAGAGTTCCTCTGTTGCTTTCACGGAAGCTTGCCTGTTCACAGAGGGTCCCAAGAAATGAGGAGAGGAGGTGGGGGAGGAGATGGCCCCGTACAGGCCACCAAAATGTCGTGGTCCGAGCGCGGGTTGGAAGAAGAATGTCCAGACCTGAAGAATTTTAGAAAAGAGTGAGTTTATTGAGAACAAACAGCAGAGATGGTGAGGGGCGCTGCGAATCCCGCGGGCCCACTCCCTGAGAGACCAGGGAGAGCTGACCCCGTTTGTGGGCTAGTAGCCAACCTTTATAGCCTCAGGACAAAGAAAATTCCTGCTGGCAGGATGGCATTAGGTGATTGGTCAGGAGGATACAAGGTTACTACATGGTGATTATTTTGCCTAGTATGGAGCCAGGGGGCTGTCCAGTTTAGATTAGGAGAGACCGTGGCAACAGTTGCTATGGGTGCTCGGTTAATTCCGGCGTTTTTGTCCTGTGTCCTTGACGTAGGGCTCCACATATAGTAGTGTGTGTGTGTTAATATCCCAATTTATCCCTCCCCCCATGGCATCACTTTCTAATGAATAGCACTGTAGTTTATAAATGAACAAGAACACGAACAGACTGGGTCCACAAAGCTTCATACAGTTCATCTGATGCCCACAAAAGTCCCTCAGCTATGTTGCTATTTTTATCTCCAAGCTAGAGGCGAGGCCTCCAAATCCAGGTCTCTGATTGCAGTCTGCCCTTCCCGGCCCTTCACACCCGACCCGTGCTCAGGAGGGCCCGGAGGTGCACTCTGTGTTTTGCTGCCTTGTTAACACTTCCTTTATCAACCGACCTCAGTTCAGGCCTAGCTGGTGTCTGAGAACTGAACGTGAACAAATATAATTTACCAGGAGCTGCCACAGCAAATCAATAACCTGTCGAATATCAGGAAACTGCTGGTGAACACAGCATCTCATTCCATCAGTCAGTCATCTCGTTCATTATAAGCTGTGTTCGTTCTACCTTGTGTGGTTTTTGTCTCACCAGAATGAACGTGGTGTTAAGTGTTGTATGTTTAATATTGTCTGCAGTGCCGCCAGCCGCTCTGAGACTGCATGGATCCGGAAATCGTAATCTTGCCTGGAGTATAAAATGCATGCGATACATGTGCATGTGTAACTGTCATCCCCATTCTCCCGTACAAATGTTTTAGAAATTACAAAGAGATATGCTCCCCCCCCCCGCAGAAAAAAACAAAACCTTTTTTTTTAGGTCTCAAAAGTTTAGGTTAAATCTAAAATCTGTTTCTAAGGCGAACACCAAACCAGTTCTCTGGGCTTTCCAGTGTCATTGTGCACAAACCGCTGTGCTTGGTCTCAGGCTTCGTTGAATCCAGGAAGGGTGTGCAAAACTGTGGAATGAGACGGACTTGAATGCAAACAGAGAGGTTCAATAAAGCTCAAATTTGCAATAAGGGAAAACTATCGCTGTGCCCCTACTTGCTAAGAACATTCTGTGTATTGAAGTACATGGCCGTATGCAGTTTCATCCGAGCATTTACCCACGTGGGTGGACGGCACTGCCCGAAACGCGCTAACGCTGCCCTGTGCTCCGCCCGCAGCCAGAAGCTCAGCTTCAAGGAGCGCGTACGCATGGCGAGCCCACGGGGCCAGAGCGTCAAGAGCAGGCAGGCCTCGCTGGGCGACAGGCGGTCCCCCAGCACGGACATCACCACCGAGGGCAGCCCCACCAAAGTGCAGAAGAGCTGGAGCTTCAACGACCGCACCCGCTTCCGGCCCTCGCTGCGGCTCAAGAGCTCCCAGCCCAAGCCGGTGGCAGATGGTAAGCCCCTCCCTTTTCTCCATAACCGTTTCACTGTATGCTCGAGATGATGAGTGGTTAATTCTCCTCGGCGCCAATCGCAGAGAGAAGGAGACAACCCCAGGGGAAGAACTGTTTGTTTGTTTTCTTGGAAATTTATTCCCTGCTTTGGGCGAGTGTACAGAAGTTTAATTTTGGAAGCAACTTTGACAGCTAAGTCTATGTTTCAGGGAAGTCAGACACAGTGTTGTTAATTCTTCACTCATATCTCCAGCATATCGTTCTCAGGCGAGGTGCGTATCAGGTCAACAGGACTGTGCTTCAGATGCACAGGACGTGTCTGACCTGCAAAGGCCCGAAGATGGCCAGGTGCTCAGGAACCTTGAGACACAGGGAGAAGGGGCCGGAGCCTTTCTGGACCCAGTGAGGATGCGGTTCCTTTTCTGCTAGGCTCTGTTCTCCCCTAAATCAGAGACCATTGCTCATCTCTGTTAGAGAGGTTCTCACTGAAAGTTCTTATCTAATGATAAGTGGAATTCAGGTTCTTCTCCTGAGAGGCATTAACCTATTTTATTTATCAGATTTTGTGGCAGAAGCTTACTTGCCAACACGTCTTATTGAGTGCCATATAATTTCAAGGTTTATGAAGTAAAACATTTTGTTTTTCATTTAAGATTAGCTTGGCTTTCCTTTTAAGAACGCCCCCCAGGATCTCTTATCCTGGGCAAAGAACCAAAGTCAAATCGCATCTTCCATTAACACGGAAAAGCCCGCAAAGGCCGTCAGCCCCGCTGTGCGCACTCCCGAGCAGAACCTGCATTCTCCCAGGCAGCGGGATAAAATTAACAACCCGGGCCCACAGTGACCTCAGGCTCCCTCGGCCCCCGGCCCTCCCAGCCCATTCAGAGCTCGTGGGGCCGCCCCCCACTCTCAGGGACGCCCCCGGAGTTCCCTCCTCACACTTCCCACCCTTCACACCCGGGAACGTCGGGCTCTCCCAGCAGCGCCCAGCGGCTGACCCAGCACAGGCCCTCCTGGTGGAGCTCGCAGCTGCCATCTGGGCTGCACACTTGACCCGCCAGGTGCCTTCCTCCTGCCGCTGTGCTAAGGTGGGAAGTGCTCCCCCCAGCACCGGACACCCCTCCCGGCCCTACACCAAGCCCCCAGTGTCCCGAGTCACCGGCGGCACAGATGTCAGTGTCCTCTGGTCTCCGCACTCTCCTCCCTAGGGATTGGCTGAAAGCCCATGAACAGCTGAGTCAAGAGCTAGCAGTTACAAGGCTTGTGCAGCACTCAAAAGAGACTCGCCAGACATAAATGGACACATGATTTCTGGAAGGCAAGCTGGCAACAGATATCAAGAGGCCTTTACATCTGCCTGAGCTTGGACGCTTCCCACCCACCAATTCCATTTCTAGGATACAGTCGATATAATGAGGTAGCAGACGTTAGAAAAGATGGTATAAGTCTAAAATTATTGAAATAGATAAAGGCCCACAAAAAGTAAATTATTCCATCTTGGCTGTGTGTGGATGTGTGTATAAATTCATATATTTATAGTAAAAGTTCTGGAAAGATTTATAACAATGAATGAACAGTTACCTCCAAGAGGTAAGATCAGAGTTATATTTTGTTTCTTCATGTTGTTCATCTGTATTTCCTATTATTTCTACAATGAACATGTAAAGCTTTTGTGATAAAAATGCAGAAGAGGATTTTCTATTAAAAAATCAGATCCTCCTCTCAGACACTGCCCTTTTCCTCTCCCTCACTCTGGGGGCCCTTGGTCTAACTGGTGGCCACCAAACCCCTCTCCTTAGGTGGCGTTCCTCCTGGTCTCGGTGCCAGGGACTAGCCTTCACCGAGGGCAGACGTGGACTGTCTAATGAGGTTTGACAGCTCCTACTACGAATAGAACTGTATTAGGCTCCAGGGCTGCCGTAACAAAGTACCACAGACTGGGTGGCTTAAACAACGGAAACTTATTTTCTCACGGTTCCAGAGGCTACAAGTCTGAGATCTCCTTGGGTCACAGACGGCCACCTTCTCCCTGTGTCTCCACTTCTTCCCTCTGTGCATGTCTGTGTCCAGATTTCCTCCTCTTATAAGGACACCAGTCATATTGGATTAGAACCCACACAGATGACCTCATTTTAACTTCATTATCTCTTTCAAGACCCTGTCTCTGAATTCTCAGGGACTGAGGGCCGGGACTTCAGCACATGGAGTTTGTTGGGATGCCATTCAGCCCATACCGGAGCCCCTGCAAACTCACAGCACAGCATCCCCGGGGGTGCACACAGCTCCAACCCTCACCCTGGGTCCACACACACTGGAAACGCATGTATTGCCACAGCGGGTCCTTACCCTTCCAACGTGGGCTTCAGAAAGCGTCGCTTCCGTGCTGTGAGGTCCTTACGGTTGGCTGAGCACATCTAAATATAAAAGAGAATCCAGATTCTGAATATGGAAAATGAATTCTACTTGTATGTTTGGCCAGAGGGGAAGCATTTTTCAAAGACTCCTAGAGTCAGCACTATCCATCACACTCTTTTCAGTTACTGCAAAGATGTCTCAGAGGTCAGACAAATAGAAACAGAAGTCCTGTTCTCTTCCAAACCACAAACTGGAAAGGTCTCCTACCGTGCATTTTCTACATCATCTCGTACACGTGCAGTTCTCTTTGGTTAGAAGGGAATTGCTTTTCCCTGGTTGATACCTGTCTGAATTGGTTCTGAGTCCCCCAAGTGACAGGAGGCCGACTGCTGTCCTGTTGAAGTAGCTTTGTTGGCCGCCCACCCGCAAGAGACCATGACTCCTGACTCCTTGCTCTGTACAGTAGCCCAGAACCTTGACCTCTGAGTTACCTCATGGTTAGATGTTGGGAAAACAGAAGTTCACTTTTTATAGGAAAAAAAACTGAAGTAGCTATCAAATAAATGTAGATTTCAATTTATACATTTTTATATATAGTGCCTCTATATGTTTTAAGTATGTCTAAAATCCACTTATTACCCATAGAAAATAATGTATAATACCGCATCCAACTCCCAATTATTCTGGATCTATTTGCTCATTCGCTTCTGGGGCTCTTTTTTTTCTACTTCTGTTTTCCCTTTACGTATTTTAGGCATTTCAATGCCCATTAACAGCTCAGGGAGAGTGGATGAATAGCGGAAAGAAAAATAGAAATTCAGACTGGCCTTGAGGTTAATAACTAACTTACATTTGGAAAATAATGAGCCTGTTAACTAAAAGACACCATAATAGGAAAACAAAAGAAATTTAAGGTTAATCTGTAAATTTTAATGATTCTTCCCAAATCTGATAGCCTTTACTACAGATGGTATTATTGTTATAATTTAATGACTCTTACAAAAGGGTATTAAGTATTGCATGTTGTTTTTATTTGCTATCATTTTTGATGAAATTTACATGTTACATTTTAAAGGACACAATTTTAAATTCCACATCCATGTGTACCAGAGAAGTGGAAAGTAACAGACAGATGTTGTCACCAGAAATTTACAAAGAGCAAAAGGAAGAAAGTAAACTGTAAGGGACTAGGGTGGTGTTGCCTGCCATAGCAAACTGATTTTGACCAATATGATATGAATAGTAGTTTTAGTTTATAAATCTAATAATAAGAGATAATAATAATAAGAGATAGAAATGTTCCACTAGTCAATCAATAGTATTTAAGCCTCTTCATACAATCTCAGAATTTAGGTAGGATATGACTTTTTTAGATTCCATATGTAATGAGGGTCTGATCATGCATTTTGTGTCCTTCTGTGTCTGGCTTATTTCAGTTGGCATAATGGCCTCCACGTTCATCCATCTTGTTGCAAATGGCAGGATATCTTTCTTTTTCAAGGATGAGTAATACTCCATTGTATAATTTATACCACAATTTCATTTCACTATATGTATGTGTATATCAAGCCATCATGGTGTACACTTTAAATATGTACAATTTTCATTTTAAAAGTAAAATAAAAATAAATTAGGTGGCTTAAAAATATTTGTATTTTAATATACAAGAATAATAATGATGAAAGTAACATTTATTGGCTGGCACTGTTCTGAATGCTTTACTTCGATGATTTCATTTAATTCTTCCAATAACCCTATGAGGGAGGCAAGTCGTGATCCCCATCTTGTGAATGAGGGAGCTGAGAGCTGCCCAGACCTAAGAGCCGTGAGCAGGGCAGCCTTGGTGCACACCCAGACCATCTGATTTCCCAGCCCTCCTGGAGGACACGTTCAAAGCTGCGCCCTCAGATGTCGTATCGGTTTCCCTTTAAGCATCTTTCATTTCTCCTTTTTCGCACTGTTGCTCTTCCATCTTCAGTTGGCCAGATCCCCCTCCCTTAGAAACCATTCGACTTTGCCACTGGCCCACCCCTCCTTCTCCCAACCTCAGCTGCCAAACCTCTGAACTGCATTGTCTTCAAAGAGTGGAAGGTTCGGGGCTTCCCTGGTGGCACAGTGGTTGAGAGTCCGCCTGCCAGTGCAGGGGACACGGGTTAGTGCCCCGGTCTGGGAGGATCCCACATGCCGCAGAGTGGCTGGGCCCGTGAACCATGGCCACTGAGCCTGCGTGTCCGGAGCCTGTGCTCCACAGTGGGAGAGGCCACAACAGTGAGAGGCCCGCGTAACGCAAAAAAAAAAAAGAGAGTGGAAGATTCGGCAAATTGGGAAACGGCCTTTAGATGACCCGTCTCTGTGTCGATCAAGCACCCGGCAGAGGCTCAGGATCACAGCCATCTGGCCTGCATCCGTTACCCAAGGAGGGAGGCAAACCGTGAGGCCATCTGAGGTCTGTTTCCACATACAGAAGGTGGTATCAGGAGATGGACAGCCGTCAGCACAGACAAGCACATGGAACGTGGTGGAAGCAAGTCCAAGGAATGCCAGGCAGCAGAGCCCAAAGGATGAAATTAGGAAGAGCTAGGGGCAAGCCGAGGTTTCTGGTGACTAGTTAGGTTGCTATCAAAGAGGCTGTCGTAACGGACCCT